GATAGATAGACAGATAGATAGATAGATAGATAGATAGATAGATAGATAGATAGATAGATAGATAGATAGATAGATAGATAGGGTTGAGCAACTCACTGGGTCTCCTCCCGAAGCGAAGGAGATGGACTGCATGTGATGATTGGCGATTATCTGTGGAGAAAAAAAAAAAAGAAAAAAAAAGAAAGAACGGGAGGAAGAGAGGGAGAGCACATGGATGAGATGAAGTATGTGGGAAGTAAAATAAAAGTGTTTAGATGGAGAGACAAACACAGAAGAGTTACTGAGAATGAGCTCTTTCCCTCCACTGAGCAGCAGCAACAGCCTCCATGTTGGATCAATACGAGCATTAAAACGTGATAATGATCACAACGTGGTGTGTGTGTGTGTGTGTGTGTGTGTGTGTGAGTCCTCCTTCATGTGTGATGTGCTGAACAACATGCTTCTCTGCACTACGTGTTAATGCCATCCACCCACAGAGAGACATCGCTCCGTGGCTATTAGCTCATCAGACATGAAGTGGAGGTTACATCCTGCTCAGCGGCAGGAATAAAACAACGCTGAGAGGGATTCATGTAGCGTTTAGAGTAAATGACACAAACAAAGCAGAATCAGTCTGATTTAGCCGGGCTTCCCTGAGTTTTCTTTAATGTTTTTAGTTGTGGGCACAACTAACCAAACAGTTCACTAACAACTAATCTGTTGAACAGGAAGCTTAGCTCTGCTAACGCTAAACAAATAAAAGATTAATGAAAGCTAAGGCTAACCGCTAAGATAACAGTCTGTGTTTTCTATTGGTTTAACTGATGGTGGGTGGGATCATCTGTGCTAAATCAGCCAATCAAAACAGAGTTATAGCTCTGTCTAAACTGTGATAGTTTATCCCTTTCAAAATAAAAGCCTATTTTTGATAGATTTTTATACACCATTTAAAGTTAGTCCAACAACAAATAAAAAATAAAAAGTCACTGATGATGAAGAAACTGATATTTAATTCTGTTTTCTACTGAAGTGGCTAAAAAAAGGTCAAAGAACAAATAGTAAAAAAAATTTCTACCATATTTTATATTTAGTCCCTTTTTGTATTTATTATTTATATATTGTTAAATGTATTTTTATTTGTTTTTTGACACTCGTAGTTTGAAGTTTAGCTGCTAAAGATGCTACATGCTACACACAGTCTGACACGTCCAACTTGTACGAGTGGATAGTTTTTATTTCATTTAGAATACAGTTGTGGTCAAAAGTTTACATACACTTGTAAAAAACATAATGTTATGGCTGTCTTGAGTTTT